TATGATAAATGATTTCATGTTCTCTGCAGAGTCGATATTTTTGTCTTATATGGATTCGTCACTGCGAGGTCTGTAGAACACCATCCTGAGATACATGGCACATCCGCTTGTAAAAGCATGCAGTTATCTGCTGAGCTAATTTTTAAATAAATCATGATATCAGTGGGAGATAAAGCAACTGTGCAATATTCTTTGCATGCAATTTATTATCATTCGTAGGTGTACATCGATCTCTGAGACGCACCTGAAGTTGGTACAAAAACATCTGATAGACATCAACTCTTACACGACTATGTCTATTTGTTAGCTGTTGAACTGCACAAAGAAAGTTCATGCAAGTCTACTGAGCGACCTTTGGAATAAAACAGTTGAACGGTTCTTTGTTTCTGAATGAAGTATAACTTTAACACTTTCGAGAAAACACAGTAAAGAAATAAGGTGATAATTTTCTACCCTGGATACGTCGCCAGCCTTGTGAATAAGTACTACGATTGACTTCCCCAATGATGGAGAATCACCACTTCTCAGTGAAAAATTTAACACATGCTTCATTAAAGGGGCAGACAAATTATTGCATCCCTTAACAATTAAACAATGTATAATGTTGCTATGACATTAATTAATTGCCCTTAAAACTTTGGTGTTCATCATGTTCTTCATTTATTTTCACCCTTAAAGGCCCAGTTAGGGCATTACCCAAAAAGGGGAGTGTGTAGAATATCAAATGATACAATAGTATCGCAGAAACAAGACCAAAATATATAAAAATAAATGCAGCAGAAATTATGCATGTACTCAATTTAAATGGGCTAGTAGATTATAAAACTGCATCCGTGACAAGGGAGAATGGCAGCTGGTTCCATTCAGCGGTGGCATGGGGAAGGAATGATTCATTAAATGCACTAGTTTTACGAGAGATTCATTTAATTGGACTAGTTTTTCAAGCAGGATGATATTCTACTGCGGGGGGTATAAGAGGGGGGTGCTTTTTAGTAAATTTGGAAAAATCAAATGCGAGAAAGCTTCCTTCATGTTGGAAGGGGTGCAAATCCAAGTGGACCTTTTTAGAGAAGAAATACTAGTGGTGTAGTTGTAGGAAAAGATGAATCGGGCGGCTCTGTTTTGGGTTGACTCTGGATGGGTGTCCAGGAGGGTTCTACAGCAATGGCTCTGATGTCAGGTTTCCATGAAATGCTATGCGTTAGTCTTATGCCAAGATTTTTATACACTAGAACAGCTGCAATCAAGCCTTTGTCAGTGTATATTGAAAGATTAAAGAAGACATTTTACGAGTGAAATTGATTAGTTTCCACTTCGATTTGTTAGCGACATCATCCATTTATTGCACCAGTCAATTTTTTTTAGATTACTTTTAAGCTTGAGATTATTGGTTTCCGATGAGATTGTGTTATAAATTGTGCTGTCATATGCGAATATGTGTACTCTACCGGAAAGGTCTTGTGTCGATGGGCCTCGTATATCGTGTCCCCCTGGCAGTATACCTCACCAGCAGAAACTACATTAGTTGTAGCTTTCATGGCTTTTGTGTAAGCAAATTCGTTAAGCTTCAGAAGAAACACCTTGTATATATTTTCTGCTTCGGCTGACTTCTCAGTCATAGATATGCTACTAACATGACACATACGGGTTTCCACAATGTCTTGCTTTTTCAGCTCAAATACAAGTTTTTACCCGACGGTGGTGTCTGACGCATAATTAGAAGGCACCGGACCTTTTTCTCTCCTTCTGCCTCTTTACCGCCGACCAACATTTGCACTCGAACGAAATTCTCAACACCTGAACAACTGCAGTGAACATTGATTCTTTGAGACCCGAGGTGGTGTGAGCTTATGCTCTGCCGCTAGGCCGGGACCATTACCACAAAAATTTGGGGATATCTGACAACCCTGTTCTCAGTCGGTTTTTTGTCAATGGAACCAGGTCATCAGGACTTCAGTAAATGTTCGACAAGGTACACAACGTTTACAAAGAAAGCTTGTTAATTGCCCTACAAAACAAAACAAAAAACCTTTTTATTTTTTTCGGAACAAGCTTTTTTTCTGATACAAACTCTTCACACATTGCTGTGGAAGGAGGCACTTCCCTGGATGACTTTCGCGAACCTTGCTCTCGCCTGCGGAGACACACTCGGTGGAAGTCGTGCTTTTCATGTGCTATAAACGGTGCTAGTGAAACAGTGAGTAGCAAAGGATTATCCTTTCAACTGTTTGCCAATTGCTGCTTTTCTTTAAATGTTTTAACAAGAATTTGCTTCTACTGTGCTGGAAAATTTGGCGAGCGGCCCTGCTTCGAATATTGGGTGCCGGTAAATTTGCAGAACTAAAGTAGATGACTTTGTCAATTCAAGCTTCAAATAGACTGATGGGAAAGGGGGCTGGGCAGATAATTGCAACTGACCATTCTCCGTCTACATGAACACCATTTCTGCGGCGAGATTCACAGAGTTTCTTAGGCTACAACAATTTAGCTAAGAAGTTTGTAAGTTAAGAGCATCATACGAAGAGGAGAAATCGGTATTCACGAACGTGTTCTTATGTCATAGGGTGAAAGCGACGTTCTCATACGAAGAAACTAGAACTTCCGCTGCCCCGCAAGCATCTGATTTCCGTGAGAGCAAGCTGTTGCCATGGCGACAGCGTCTTCGGCAACATGAACAGCCAATCGGAGAACTCTCCATGGCTTGGAGCTCGTGAATTTTGAATAACAAACGCAGGCGGCCTTTCCGACAACGCTTTTCTGGGGATTGTGTTTGTGCAGTAAAATCTCGATGCTACCACGATTTAAATAAGCCCGAATGCCGAGGCCGGGTAACCGCCTTCGTCAAGTGCTATGGACTCAATTGCTACAAGGTCAATACAACTGTCATCGATGCTAAAAGACGGCCCGCGCCGCTCCTTTGCAAAGTGGCATAGGCATAGATAGAAACAAAAGGTTGCGGCGTTTCTCACGGCCTCGGAGATGCAGGAGTGAGCAGACGTCCAAGGAGATACATTTGAACTAAAAGAGTGTAAGCAAGAGCCACGTAAAAGTGTGTTCACACTTTGAGCGGATACGCGCGTTTGATCGAAGCTCTGGATTCGTGCTGTTGGACCGCACCTTGGTAAGCGCTTTGGGGTGGCATGACACTCAGCAAAAGAAGCTTGGACCGGCATCGCATAGCTCCCACGAACTGTTTGACAGCATTGACGTACTGTCATGTTGAAATAAAAATGGCATACTGATAACTAAGCATACATATGTTGCGAAGGTAATAGTTATTTGAGCTGGATATCACACAAACAATGAGATGAAATCTATGAGAGTCCCTTTTCGGCGACTGCGTTTGTCACCGCCTCGGAAAACAAGGGGAAGAGGCTGACCTCGTAATCTAAAATTGAGGTCAGCAATCAAACTGTTCATACGAGAGGCTCTAGAAAGCCGGCATATTCCATTCAGCAAGCCAGATGGTCTTGGCCAGGGACCGTCGGAGCAAGTGGGGTGCCTTGCTAGGCCCATATTTTGCCGAGCTAGCCCTTGGCAGTCTCTTGGTCGGTGGGATTGTTGCTGTTGTAGCTTTTTCCAGATGTCTGTGGACCTAGCGTTCATGTTCGTTGTGGTCGGTTTGAAATACTTTCTATTCTCTTGCTGCTTGAAGTAGAGATGTGCACGAAGAGCACATAGAAAAATAAATGTCAGCAATGTTGATTTGATCATAAAAAAGTGTGTAAGACACCTCCGGAGCTGTCATTGGATTCCATCGTTACCTGCACAAAAGTTGCGATAATTTTGTTTCGTGCTTGCGAATCTGTTGTTTGTCGTAGCACATTTTTGGCGTAATATTGTTCCGTGAAGCTGGTCTCTGATTCATACTGAAAGCGACACACTGGCCTTGAGCATACACTGGACACACCCAACCACCATTCCACCTGTATTTTATCAGTAGTGCAAAGATATCCAAAACACTCTCTGACGTCTGTAATTCGTTACATGGGGCCCTTAGTTCATTGCATATTTGCAGTTTATTCCTCGACATCTACATGCATGGTCAGGTGTCTGGTAACATACCACAATACACATAAATATTAGGGGTGTGCGAATAGTGGTTTCGAATTGAACAGCACATAAGTTGTTTATAGCTTCCGCTGTTTTGCTGTACAAGAGGAAGCTGCAGCATGCCAGCTTTCTTTATGGTGTTGCAGATGGGAATGACACTATTTCGATTTGAACTACTAGTCGCACACTCCTAATAAGTCTGATGTTTTGAATGTTGGCTATCTAAAGACTGCTTTATTGTCGGCCTATGGCTAGACATCTTTCATAGTCTTCACGCAGGTGTGGCGTGGAACAGCAAAGATCAACAGGTTAATAGATCAGGGGAAGCTCCTCCCACCTCTTCCCACCTTAACAGAGCGAACGCTAGAGAGGAGGTGACCCGCTGCCCTGCGCTTGCTCTGCTAAATTGAAAAGGTGTGGGAGAAGCTTTCCCCGAACTCTTACGCTGTCATCGACTATACATAGAAATGCTACAAGTGCGATGCCCCCTTGGTTTTCTTATACTTATTTTGTATACAGGTATGAACATGCCCGGAAAGATTCTACGAATGAGAATGTATCATGGGGGCTACTACAGTACATCGTTCTCTCACCTTCGTTGCAACAATGTTTCATTTCTTCCTTAGCCTAAGCTCACCAAAATTTATTAGAGGAGAAGGGAGGGGGCTATATTGCTCCACAATCCCTTTACATTTCGAGTCATTAGCTTGGTCCACACCATACACAAACTGAAATTTACCATAGAGCGAAACCGAGCACGGACGCGTTCACGTCCGACTCGTAGTGTTACACCGGTGCTGCAGCTGAGGGTATCGGCAGCTCTTGAGTGACGCTTCCCGTCCTTTACCCTAATTTGTGGCAGCTCTGCTCCAATGGTGCCTCCGGGCCGTCGTCGTGCCGCGCGGCACTGAGCAGGGTGCGGCCCTCTGGGTCCTTGTGCTTCGCAGGAAAGAAAGCAGCGGCGCTAGCACGACCATGTCCATCATCATCCGGATGCAGAACTTGCCCTGGGCGGCCAACTCCCTGGACATCCGGCGCTACTTCCAGGGCCTGGGTATCCCCGAAGGCGGGGTGCACATCGTGGGCGGCGACAAGGGCGACGCCTTCATCGCCTTCAGCACGGACGAAGACGCCCGGCAGGCCATGGAGCGCGATGCCGGTAAAATCAAGGAGGTGCGCATCAAGCTACTGCTTAGCTCGCGCGCAGAGATGCAGCGCGTCATTGACCAGGCCCGGGCCCAGCATGCCAACCCGGCACCGCCGAAGAAAGAAGAGCGTCGCCGACCCAGTCCCGAAGACCGCGGTCGAAGAGGCCCCACTAGCAGCAGCTCGAGAGACCGCTCTCCGCGACGACGGCGTCGCGACCGCAGCCACAGCCGTTCGCCGTCGTACCGTAGGGACCGCGACAAGGAGCGCAGCAGGTCCTCGCGCGGAGACGAGAGACGTCGCAGCTTCGAAGAGCCCGTGAGCCGCGGTAACGATGCTGCCCCTCTCGAAGAGCCGAACAAGCCGGTGCAGAACGGGTCTGAGGCCCCGCTACCCGCGTTCCAGGGCACCGTGGGGCCTCTGAACATTCCCGGTCTTCAGGGGCTTCCGGGCCTTCAGGCGCTACAAGGTCTCCAGAGCGGACTCGACGCTGGCTTGGCTTCCCTGCCTCTGGCCAAGCCCGCTTGGGAGCCCGATCGCAAGCCGACCTGGGACGACAAGCAGCCGTCTGGTTTTCCTTCCGCAGAGCCCGACAAGTCGTCCGCAGCGTCTGCCACGGGTCCTCTCTTCCCGATTTCGAGCACGAGTCCGGCAATGCGTCCGCAAGGTGAAGGACTCTCGGGTCCCGTGAATATGGCTGGCCAGCCCCTGTTGCCCGGACTGGGTGGACTTAACCTCGCTTCGATGAACATGATGAATGCCATGATGGGTGGTCCGTCAGCAGGCGGCGACATGATGGGTATGATGGCCGGCAACATGCCCAGTAATATGTCCGGCAGCGTGGCGGGCGGCATGGGGGCGAATATGCCGCTCGGGATGGGAGCGAGCATGGGCGGGCTGGGGCCAAACATGGGCGCAATGGGACAGAACATGGGTGGCATGGCAGCGAACATGGCTGGGATGGGGGCCAACCTACCAGGGGGAATGGGCACGAACATGTCAGGCGGAATGGGAGGTGCCATGGCTGGGGGCATGGCCGGCGTCATGCCCGGTGTGATGGGTGGCGCGATGGCCGGTGGCATGGGAGCTGCGATGCCTGGTAGCATGGGAATGGGCGCAATGGGGGCTAACATGGGTGGCAGCATGGGAGGGAACATGATGGGTGGCAGAGGCCCCATGGGGCCGAATGCTGGGCCGGGTTTTAACGATCGACGGCCGATTTCGGACGGTGCCCCTGCGTTCAGTAAGACCGACCCCGGCCCAGAGCCCCCGCGCAGGGCGGCGGCAGACGCTCCGGGACCGACCCCTGCGCGGGACTCGTCTTCCTCGCGTCGGAACGAAGAGAGCTGCTGCGTCGAGATGCGCGGCCTGACGGGGGAGCCGACCCCGCGCGACGTGAAGGACTTTTTCCGTGGTCTGCGTATCTTCAGCGGCTGCATCCGAGTGGCCACCGCGGAATCCGGCGTGAAGACCCTGGTGATACGTTTCGCGAACAAGTGGGACGCCCGCGAAGCTCTGCATGGCAACTACAAGAACTTCGGGGGCGACGCCATAACGCTGGTGCCATTCCCAGAAGAGCTGTTCGAACGCACAGAGTACCTGGGCGGCGGGGGCGGGCCGCCGCCGTCGCGGTTTGGAGGCTCTCATCCCGGCGGCGGCGACGTCGGTCCCGGTGGTGCCCCAGGTGGAGGCGGCAGGGGCCGCTTCCCGCCGCGCGACGACAACACAGTCGTGGTGATGAAGGGCCTTCCTTACTCGTGCTCCGAAACAGACGTGCTCCAGTTCTTCTCGGGCCTCAACATATTGGACCTGTTCGTGGAACATGATCACAATGGACGTGCCACGGGCACGGGCTTCGTGGAATTCGCGAGCAAGCGAGACTTCGACGCGGCCATGAACATGCACCGGCGCAAGATGGGCCATCGCTACATCGAGCTGACAGTCGGCACCCGCGACTCTATGCACCTGGCGCGCAATGCGGACGGCGTGAGGCCCGACGGACCGGCAGTACCACCGCGAACCCGCGAAGAAGAGGCTCCCCACCACAGCCCGATTCCGCCGGCGCCGTTGGGCCACGGGTCGGTACCTCTGGCGCACACATGCGTGTCCATGCTCGGCCTGCCCGACACTGTGACGGACCGCGACATCGCCGACTTCTTCAGTACGCAGGGAGTCATTCCTCGCGCCATCCACATCATGCTCGGCGCCAACGGCGTGCCCACTGGCCACGCCTTCGCTGAATTCGCCGCACACGCAGACTGCGAGCGCGCCTTCCTCAAGAACGGCGCCTCGCTGGGACCCCACACCATCACATTGAAGACGATCCCGTACAGCGAAGTCGCGCAAGCCCTCGGCGGCCACCACCGTCCTCCTCCTCCAGAGAATCGCTTCGAAGGGGGGCCTCCTCGGGGCCGGGACCATGGGCCGCCCGTAGGCCGCGAGCTCGGAGGGCCCGGCCCTGTCAAGCGGCCCCTCCTGGAGCGTGCCGAGCGGCCGCCCCTGTTCCCGGACCCCGCCGAAGAGAGGAGAGGCCCGCTGTTCCCGGACCGCAACGGACCCCCCGGGCCCCTGCTCAGGGCCCCGAGGCGGTTCGACGACGGCGAGGGCCCGCGCGGGCCGTCGGGGCCCCCCGTGCCGGCGGGCCCGGGGTCCCTGGAAGGGTTTGGGAAGCCGGGCTGCGTGGTGACGGCTACCAACATCCCGTTCCGCGCAGGCGTCGATGACATCATCGCCTTCTTCCACGGGTTCGATCTGACCAAAGAAAAAGTGATGCGACGATTCAGTGACCGCGGCCAGCCCACGGGCGACGCCAGGATCGCGTTTGCGTCGCCCAGGGAAGCGCAGGAAGCTCTGGCCAAGTTCAACAACCGACCCATGCAGGGTAGGGCCATTACACTGGGCCTCCTCTGAGCTGCTCCTTTTTCCTGCAATAACGCATTCGGCGCTCGTATTTTTTTTTTTTTTTTTTTTTTTTTTTTTTTTTTTGTTAATGAGAAATTTTACGGATGAACTCAGAATGGTGCGCGCGGTTTTTCGATGCAGGTGACTGTGTGGATGTGTTTGTGTGTCGTACTGTCTCGTTCACCCGCTCGATTCGCGCGCGATTGTACAGAAATCACTTGCATTGCATCTGTTATCTCATTTCTGTTCGCTGGTCGGCTGGTCACGCGGAAACTCGCGAAAAATCACGCATTAAAGGATCCTCATTATCTATTCGTGGTGTGTTTTTGCCTTTCTTGGGAACGCTGCAGCTACCCGCTTGTTCTCAGTGCAAGTACTGGATGCCCCCCTCCCCCAAAACTTAAGTTCTTTTTTTTTTAACCCCAAAAATAAATTTCGTTTTGCCGAACGCTCATTCTTTGCCCAAATGTCGCCCTAGAGGTCCAAACCAGAGGCCAAAGTTTCAGCACTCACTGTTACGCAAAAATCAAGTGATTTTTCAATGGGAAAATGGCGGCCGACAGAGCTCTCGAATACGTAAGTACCGAAAACGGGCAAAAATGGGACCCATTTTCCCATTGAAAATTTTAGGCAAACGGGTAACTTTTGAATAAGGTAATGGTTAGTGTTGTGACTGGCATTTGGTTGGAACCTCTAGCGCTAAATTTGGGCGGCAAATGTACGTTCCGTAATGCTGAAATTATTTTTGCAGTATTTTTTTTTTTAGGGGGAGGGGGGCATTTTGTACAGTGGCTGTAATGCGAGTAGTAGGGTCAGCGTGTTGCCCTTTATGGGGAAGGGAAAACGGAACTGATCCAGTGTGGACTGTCCATGGCACTGATCTCTACTATAGGGGGCTGGATGGCGCTTAGCTGCTTTCCGAGCTTGGCGCAAGTGAAGCCACCAGAAGTTCGATGCTTGTCCCGGAAGTCGGGCGTGTGCTGGGCTTCCTAGTGCATTCAGTCGATAATTTGGACCATGCTTTTTTGTGTATTTGATTAGGTTTTAATACTCCCGTTCTGGATTAAATCCCGAGAATAAGGCATTTGAATTTTGGACATGTTCACACTTGATAAACTAGAATGACAAGATGTTTACATTGAATGGCTTCCCATGATACTTCTCGGGTCTGCATGCGCTCTTACTGCGCAACAAGCAGGCTCTCTTGAGGGAACAAGCGAAAATTCAGCGCCCTCCACGCTTTTCGAACCAGCTCTCAGAAGGGTTACAAAGCCTGCCAAGCGCTCACTTCCGAGACGAGCTGCTTACTTCCGGTGGCTTCATACCTGTTTGCTCAATGCGCCATCCAGCCCCCTCTAGTGGAGTTCAGTGGTCCATGGCGAGCGTGATTAAACCCACGAAGGGAACGCTGCTTCAACAAAATTAGCGACGTAAAAAAAAAAAAAATGACTTAATAAAAAAAAGAAAGGCAGAAGACCCTATTTTTCCGCACCCGGACGGAGGTTGGCGATGTCCAGCTTGGAGCACATGAAAAGGTGAGGGGGAAGAGTAAGTTGTTAAAAAAAAAAAAGCCCCGAATCCAGTGCCAGAACAAGTAAGGGTAGAAGAACACGCGGTTGCACATTTGTTTGCCCAGTGTAATGTAACTGAAAAGCAAGTCTGTATTTTTGGTGATGACTAACCCAATACGCGCCGATTTACCGGTAGAAAACCGCACGATGGACTCCGCTCTAAACAAACCGTTGCTAGGGCCTTTGTGGACAAATGCATGGGGGCTCGGCGTGAGGTTAGAAATTGTCTGATAAAGTAAATTTTTTTGTGAGTATTATGATTTTTCTAATTACAAAGAATATCGTCGCAGTACCATAAAGCGATCACAATAGCCCGTAAGTTTCACAACCGGTTTTGCCTTGCTATTAGCCCTCCTGAGAGCGAACACAAGCATCGCTGCGGTTTCCGCGCCCTGATTGGGTGAGGTGTGCCGTGACGTCAGGGGGATGACTCCGCGATCTCGCATCGGCTTCCCAGCACCGTTTCCTTGGTTTGGCGTTGTGTGCCGCAAGCTCTCGGAGGAGCTGGATTTCGTTTACCCGGTGTACAAGACGTTGAGTTAGGCCGATACTGACGTGCTTCCGTACATTTTATAAGCCTGCTTGTTCCTTTTACCTTTAAAATTGGATTACAAGTCCCGGAAGCTATCGGCGGAGACAATTCCGCCGATGAACCTCCCCGTCCGTCCACACGAGACAAGGCAATTTTGCGAGGGATCCGTGAAGCGGTGGCGCAAATGTTTCAGACGCTGGAATTCTGTTCCTTGCATGTTCATGATTTAGGACGATATTACATCCCGCTTTCAAGGTATTTGAAGTGGCATTTATATCACGGGCCTCTGGGTGGTCGGCAAATTAGCTCGCGACCCCGACTTTGCGCTGCCACTCTGTATGCGCTGGTTCGCAGATGTTTTAAAGGCCCTGTGTGATTATCTTTGAAGTGCTCGTGGAACAGGGTTGTTTTACATAAATGTAGCTTCTTCGTGAATTAATTATATAGTTTATACACGTATGCAGGCATATTTCTTAGAAGATGCACAATTACTGGAAATTAGTTTGTATGGTAGCAGCAAAAACGGCCGAATTGCCCCCAGTTGCTTGTATGATATGTATTAAATTGCCCAAAATATGCACAGCAATAGTGCCGTAATTTGGAATGCTTATATTTTTAGAGCGCAGCTCTTAGGGGCCCGTTTCCGGCTTGAGCGACGTCGGCGTAACCGCGAGGTCACGTGACCCACCCAGGTCACGTGACCCCTTTGAGGTCATGTGACCCCCTGAAGTCACGTGACCCACCCAGGTCACATGACCCCCTGAGGTCACGTGACCCCCCTAAGGTCATGTGACCCCTTCAGGTCACGTGACCCCCAAAGTTCACGTGACCCCTTAGGTCACGTGACCCCCTGAAGTCACGTGACCCCCTTGAGGTCACGTGACCTCAAGGAGTCACCTATCCTTCAGTACGCTTCCATCTTCCTCCTCAAGAGCTGCGCTCTAACCGGCGTTACAGGTAATTGTAAACGGCTTTCATTTTTTTCCTGACATTTTTATTCCAGCCTTGGGTATTCGGAAAATACACCGTTTAGTCTGAATTGTCATTTCCAATTAAAACAGACACTGCTGCAAGTCTCCAAAAGCTTCCTCAGCCTCCGAACTCCCTACAGATGGACTCTCTGTCAACAGAGGAAAACAGGAGTAAAAGCAAGCATTCGAACGTCTGTCCAGTGGTAGATGCAGCACTAGCAGCAGAAAATATAGAACCTGTGAAGGGCGACAGTCTGCGTAAGAAAAGCTTCTGGTATTTTAGCTTCAGGACAATTCGATTTAAGTAAAATCTCAATTTTAGGGCTTAATGGACTAATAACGAGCTAGACACCTTCGCTTACGTTTGTTTTACATTACTTGAGGGTTGATATAAACAAGTCCACATATACCACCCGTGCAATCCATTGAAATACTATCCGAATCCAGCAAAGCTCAAATGCGAGCAATGTATATAATAAATGTTCCTTGTTTTTTTTACTTTGCCCCGGCACTTGGGCTATCTTACATGTGATTCTCTCCCCATGGCCCAGACTGTATTTAGCATGTTGCTCGAGCAGCATGCAGCTTTTCTGCTTCAGCGATCTTGTTTAAAAACAGATACAAAAAAAATAGTATACATAACCTACCAATTCATTCAGACCATCAGCAGCATTTATTGTGCGAGATGAAAATCCATAGTGATGATCCTGCAATTGTGACCGTATTTCTTTATTTTCATATACCAGCTGCGAGTCATGCGTTGCCTGCCCTGTCAACCATGCTTAAAATGTTGGTTGAAGTTTCACCTGTAGCTACAAGCCACACCTCAATAAAGGCCCATATAAAAATTTATACTTCCTACGAAAAACACGAAAAAAAAAATAAATAGAAACGAGCGCGCCGACAGCTAGCGTCGTCACAGCCTCCACAGGGCGAGCGGGCGAGTCGGGGGAAAATTCTCTCCTCGCCGTGACGTCACCCCGGTTTACCGTAAGGGGGTGCCTCGCGAACTTCTCGGGGCTAAAAGGTAGTGGCAAATGCCCCTCAAAGGGAATCATATATCCCTCCGCCACCTCCGTATCCAATAGCGTCCCATCGTTTCCGTGACGTCGCGGCCAACGCGCGAGGAGGGTCTTGCCTTTTGTACATATTTGCTTTATCTTTCGACTTTGACTTGGCATTGTGGAAGCTACGAGAGGGAGATTAGTTTTCCCCCTCCGATGAAAACAAATACGACTTTCGGGGATTAGCTTCCCCCTCCGATGAATACAAAGGCTGCTTTCAGGGGCTCGGTTTCCAGTTGGAATTCATTGAAGCGGAACAAGGGGCGTTTCCAGTGAACTCTTTCGACTGCGGAGAGATTTGAGACGGGCGCATCACGCTTGTGGGAGGAGCTTCTCTTACCTTCTTGGACTTGTAACCGACTATAGCAGACGACACCATGGCCTCGCAAGTTCAGTGGTTCTTTCTGAGGGAGTTCATGAAGGACCTCTACTACTCTCTTCCGCAGAATGAGCTGTTGAAGTGTGTGGAAGACTGCCTTGACTCTTTTGGTGTTATTGCTTTTTAGACCGCGTCAAGACCGTATATTTTTATCCACGTTTGCGTGTTGGGAGGATAACACCTTTTTGTAGAAAGCAGGGGTATGCACTGGTTCATGTATTGCACCAGTTTTGGGTAAGCTGTACCATCGCGCATCGGGACCGGATCCTTTCGCGTAGCTTAGATGCTTATACTGTTCTGAAGGTGTTTCGCTTTGTTGATGATTTCTTTATTGTGCCAGATTGTGCAGTTAATGACTTTCAGATATTGGTTTCTATAACGTTCTGTCCTGTTATAAATCCTGTATAGATCTACTAAAAATCACTCATGAGCTCCCCACAAAAGGTTTCCTGCGGTTTTTGGACCTTAGATTAATTTTTTTCGGAGCATCATGCATGCTGGTCATACGAACCAAGAGAGAAGAAATTTCTTCTTAATTTTCAGTCAGCACACTCCGCATTGCTAAGTTATGTCTTACCAATGCGCTTAATATGTCTGGTATTCATTCGCTTAAAGTTAGTTTTGATGCTGAAATCGCCAGGTTAAAGTCAAGAGGATATCCCGTGGCAGAGGATTTATTAAAGAAAATAAGATGGGGAGAACGACCTAAACGCAATCCAGAAATGAAAATGACTGTTTGTTGTTTCCTATATACATAAAGTTTTGCACGATCTCAAGAAGATAGGTAACCTTTTTCAGCACCAAA